TATAAAATATATATATATATATATATATATATTATATATATATATATATATATATATATATATAAAATATATATATATATATATATATTATATATATATATATATATATATATAATATATATATATATATATATAATATATATATATATATATATATATAATATATATATGTATGTATATATTACAATGAATACTCGCTTTAAGTGTATATACAATGAGACATTCACATCTCTCTCTGTATATACACTGAGAGATACTCATCCTTCTTATAAACACTGACAAACGAGAATTAAATAACTACAACCCGAGAAAGGGAAGGAAGACTTCTACTCCTGGGATCAAGAGCCCTTCAATACCCTCAAGGCACCTCACTTCAGCTTTGTGCTTCAGGGAACTTCAGTAAAGCCACGAAAAACACACTGAAATATCCATATTATCCAAAAGAGGGTCGTCACGGGTGATTATGATAATCCAGGCGCTGCCGTGGCAACATCCAGAGGGTAAATATTCACACGGGGTAAACTTGCGTGTTTAATAATCCCTAACGGGATTCAATAATCCTAAACGTGTTCCAAAACGTGTTTTAATAATCCCAAAACGTGTTTTAATAATCCCGAAACGTTTTTTAATAGTCCCGAAACGTGTTTTATTAATCCCGAAACGTGTTTTAATTATCCCGAAACGTGTTTTAATTATCCCGAAAGGTGTTTTAATAATCCTGAAACGTGTTTTAATTATCCAGAAACGTGTTTTAATAATCCCAAACGTGTTTTAATTATACAAAACATGTTTTAATTAAGCCAAACATGATTCAATAATCCCAAACGTGTTTTAATAATCCCAAACGTGTTTCCAAAAGGTGTTTTAATAATTCCAAGTGCGTTTTAATAATTCCAAAGGTGTTGTAATAATCCCAAACTTGTTTTAGAATTATTTCTGAGAGACATGATCGTGAGAGAATAGGTAAATATTCGTAGACAACGTCATTATGACGATCATTATGACTGTCACTATAAACGTCATTATGACGGTCATCATGAACGTCATTATGAACGTCATTATGATGGTCATAATGATGGTCATTATGAACGTCATTATGACGGTTATGGACGTCATTATGACCGTTATTACGACGGTCGCTTCAGAGGGGCGTCAACGCAAGTCTATGTACACCGGAATCACGTGCTGCCTCGGGTAATTATACACCCGAGTATTGAGTTATAGGCGATGATACAAGTGACGCATTGCTAGTGCAACAACCTTCTTTCTCCCCCTCCCTCTTCCTTCCCCCTCCCCTACGCCCCCTCCCTTCTCCCCCACCCTCCCCACACCCCCAACCTCCACACCAGAGATTACTTCTCGTTAAACAGAATAAAATAACCCAGGATGGTAAGAGACAAGATGCTATATAATGTAATATAATGTAACGTGGTGTAATGTAATATGATGTAATGTAATATTTAGCATAATATTATGTTATGTACTCACCCACTGCTATGTCAGGAGGAGTACAGGAAGAGTACTCACCCACTGCTATGTCAGGAGGGGTACAGGAAGAGTACTCACCCACTGCTATGTCAGGAGGGGTACAGGAAGAGTACTCACCCACTGCTATGTCAGGAGGAGTACAGGAAGAGTACTCACCCACTGCTATGTCAGGAGGGGTACAGGAAGAGTACTCACCCACTGCTATGTCAGGAGGGGTACAGGAAGAGTACTCACCCACTGCTGTGTCAGGAGGGGTACAGGAAGAGTACTCACCCACTGCTATGTCAGGAGGGGTACAGGAAGAGTACTCACCCACTGCTGTGTCAGGAGGGGTACAGGAAGAGTACTCACCCACTGCTGTGTCAGGAGGGGTACAGGAAGTGTACTCACCCACTGCTGTGTCAGGAGGGGTACAGGAAGAGTACTCACCCACTGCTGTGTCAGGAGGAATACAGGAAGAGTACTCACCCACTGCTGTGTCAGGAGGGGTACAGGAAGAGTACTCACCCACTGCTGTGTCAGGAGGAGTACAGGAAGAGTACTCACCCACTGCTGTGTCAGGAGGGGTACAGGAAGAGTACTCACCCACTGCTGTGTCAGGAGGGGTACAGGAAGAGTACTCACCCACTGCTGTGTCAAGAGGGGTACAGGAAGAGTACTCACCCACTGCTGTGTCACGAGGGGTACAGGAAGAGTACTCACCCACTGCTGTGTCAGGAGGGGTACAGGAAGAGTACTCACCCACTGCTGTGTCACGAGGGGTACAGGAAGATTACTCACCCACTGCTGTGTCAGGAGGGGTACAGGAAGAGTACTCACCCACTGCTATGTCAGGAGGGGTACAGGAAGAGTACTCACCCACTGCTGTGTCAGGAGGGGTACAGGAAGAGTACTCATCCACTGCTGTGTCAGGAGGGGTACAGGAAGAGTACTCACCCACTGCTGTGTCAGGAGGGGTACAGGAAGGGAAGAGTACTCACCCACTGCTATGTCAGAAGGGGTACAGGAAGAGTACTCATCCACTGCTATGTCAGAAGGGGTACAGGAAGAGTACTCACCCATGCTATGTCAGAAGGGGTACAGGAAGAGTACTCACCCACTGCTATGTCAGAAGGAGTACAGGAAGAGTACTCACCCACTGCTATGTCAGGAGGGGTACAGGAAGAGTACTCATCCACTGCTATGTCAGAAGGGGTACAGGAAGAGTACTCACCCACTGCTATGTCAGAAGGGGTACAGGAAGAGTACTCACCCACTGCTATGTCAGAAGGGGTCCAGGAAGAGTACTCACCCACTGCTATGTCAGAAGGGGTACAGGAAGAGTACTCACCCACTGCTATGTCAGAAGGAGTACAGGAAGAGTACTCACCCACTGCTATGTCAGAAGGGGTACAGGAAGAGTACTCATCCACTGCTATGTCAGAAGGGGTACAGGAAGAGTACTCATCCACTGCTGTGTCAGGAGGGGTACAGGAAGAGTACTCACCCACTGCTATGTCAGAAGGAGTACAGGAAGAGTACTCACCCACTGCTATGTCAGAAGGAGTACAGGAAGAGTACTCACCCACTGCTGTGTCAGGAGGGGTACAGGAAGAGTACTCACCCACTGCTATGTCAGAAGGAGTACAGGAAGAGTACTCACCCACTGCTATGTCAGAAGGAGTACAGGAAGAGTACTCACCCACTGATATGTCAGAAGGAGTACAGGAAGAGTACTCACCCACTGCTGTGTCAGGAGGGGTACAGGAAGAGTACTCACCCACTGCTATGTCAGAAGGGGTACAGGAAGAGTACTCACCCACTGCTATGTCAGAAGGGGTACAGGAAGAGTACTCACCCACATCTATGTCAGAAGGAGTACAGGAAGAGTACTCATCCACTGCTATGTCAGAAGGGGTACAGGAAGAGTACTCACCCACTGCTATGTCAGAAGGGGTACAGGAAGAGTACTCACCCACTGCTATGTCAGAAGGAGTACAGGAAGAGTACTCACCCACTGCTATGTCAGAAGGGGTACAGGAAGAGTACTCACCCACTGCTATGTCAGAAGGAGTACAGGAAGAGTACTCACCCACTGCTATGTCAGGAGGGGTACAGGAAGAGTACTCATCCACTGCTATGTCAGAAGGGGTACAGGAAGAGTACTCACCCACTGCTATGTCAGAAGGGGTACAGGAAGAGTACTCACCCACTGCTATGTCAGAAGGGGTCCAGGAAGAGTACTCACCCACTGCTATGTCAGAAGGGGTACAGGAAGAGTACTCACCCACTGCTATGTCAGAAGGAGTACAGGAAGAGTACTCACCCACTGCTATGTCAGAAGGGGTACAGGAAGAGTACTCATCCACTGCTATGTCAGAAGGGGTACAGGAAGAGTACTCATCCACTGCTGTGTCAGGAGGGGTACAGGAAGAGTACTCACCCACTGCTATGTCAGAAGGAGTACAGGAAGAGTACTCACCCACTGCTATGTCAGAAGGAGTACAGGAAGAGTACTCACCCACTGCTGTGTCAGGAGGGGTACAGGAAGAGTACTCACCCACTGCTATGTCAGAAGGAGTACAGGAAGAGTACTCACCCACTGCTATGTCAGAAGGAGTACAGGAAGAGTACTCACCCACTGCTATGTCAGAAGGGGTACAGGAAGTACTCACCCACTGCTATGTCAGAAGGGGTACAGGAAGAGTACTCACCCACTGCTATGTCAGAAGGAGTACAGGAAGAGTACTCATCCACTGCTATGTCAGAAGGGGTACAGGAAGAGTACTCACCCACTGCTATGTCAGAAGGGGTACAGGAAGAGTACTCACCCACTGCTATGTCAGAAGGAGTACAGGAAGAGTACTCACCCACTGCTATGTCAGAAGGGGTACAGGAAGAGTACTCATCCACTGCTATGTCAGAAGGGGTACAGGAAGAGTACTCATCCACTGCTGTGTCAGAAGGGGTACAGGAAGAGTACTCATCCACTGCTATGTCAGGAGGGGTACAGGAAGAGTACTCACCCACTGCTATGTCAGAAGGGGTACAGGAAGAGTACTCACCCACTGCTATGTCAGAAGGGGTACAGGAAGAGTACTCACCCACTGCTATGTCAGAAGGAGTACAGGAAGAGTACTCACCCACTGCTATGTCAGAAGGAGTACAGGAAGAGTACTCATCCACTGCTATGTCAGAAGGGGTACAGGAAGAGTACTCACCCACTGCTATGTCAGGAGGGGTACAGGAAGAGTACTCACCCACTGCTGTGTCAGAAGGGGTACAGGAAGAGTACTCATCCACTGCTCTGTCAGAAGGGGTACAGGAAGAGTACTCACCCACTGCTATGTCAGAAGGAGTACCGGAAGAGTACTCACCCACTGCTATGTCAGAAGGGGTACAGGAAGAGTACTCACCCACTGCTATGTCAGAAGGAGTACAGGAAGAGTGCTCATCCACTGCTATGTCAGAAGGGGTACAGGAAGAGTACTCACCCACTAGTATGTCAGAAGGGATACAGGAAGAGTACTCACCCACTTCTGTGTCAGGAGGGGGAACAGGTGACCCCAGTGTCATTGAAGGACTATTAACAGGAGTGGTATTGCTACCCCCTGCTGACCCCACTCGTGCCCCGTTAGACAGCTGAAGTGGCGGGTAAGGGGTATCCTCATCCGTCACCACTACAGATGGGCGTGAGGGGGCGGACCCACGCCCACGGCGTGGGTTGAAGATAGTTGCAATGGAGGGCCTTCTAGCCCCCACATCCTCACTCATGGCTAGCCCCTCCACCACCTGCCTAGCCCCGCCACCACCTGGCTAGCCCACCTGGGGGTGAACTAGCGAAGCCCCACTAGCGTCATGGTGAGCGAGGTTTCCTAACGCTTGTCCGCGCGCTGTGCAAGCACCAGCTGGAAGCCTTCACAGTCACTAGATCACCAGCTGGAAGGCTTCACGGTCACTAGATCACCAGCTGGAAGGCTTCTCTTTCAAAATATCACCAGCTGGAAGGCATCACGGTCACTATATCACGAACTGGAAACCTTCACGGTCACTATATCACCAGCTGGAAGACTTCTCTTTTAAAATATCACCAGCTGGAAGGCTTTACGTTCAGTAGATCACCAGCTGGAAGCTTTCACGGTCACAAAGGTCGGGAGGAACCACCTGTGAAAAAACAGAGAGAACATTTTGTTAAAAAAACACAATACCGTAGCTGGAACAATTCACAATAATTTGTCGAGGCAGTTAAATTTGCCGCAGGTACACACTGCCGTAGAAGCCGCGGTTTTAAACTGCCGCACCTGACCTACCTGTATCTTATCAGTGATCCTGCGGCATGCATGCGGCTTGAGACCCGGGATCCATAAAAGCATTAAGGGAATGGGATTGACGTCCCCCATTATTGAACCATGGTAGAAGGGCAGGGCAGGGCAGGGCAGGGCAAGGCAGGGCAGGGCAGGGGAGGGCAGGGCAGGGCAGGGCAGGGCAGGGCAGGGCAGGGCAGGGCAGGGCAAGACATGGCCGGGAAGGGCAGGGCAAGTCAGAGCCACCACCTACATACAGGACTCACACCACCACCACCTGCATGCAGGAGTCACACCACCACCTGCATACAAGACTCACACCACCACCTGTATACAGGACTCACACCACCACCTGCATACAAGACTCACACCACCACCTGTATACAGGACTCACACCACCACCTGCATACAGGACTCACACCACCTGCATACAGGACTCACACTACCATCTGCATACAAGACTCACACCACCACCACCTGCATGCAGGAGTCACACCACCACCTGCATACAAGACTCACACCACCACCTGCATACAGGACTCACACCACCACCTGCATACAAGACTCACACCACCACCTGCATACAGGACTCACACCACCACCTGCATACAAGACTCACACCACCACCTGCATACAGAACTCACACCACCACCTACATACAGAACCCACACCACCACCTACATACAGAACTCACACCACCACCCACATATAGAACTCACACCACAACCTACATACAGGACGCACACCTCCACTCATACAGAACTCACACCACCACCCACATACAGAACTCACACCACAACCTACATACGGGATGCACACCTCCACTCACATACAGAACTCACACCACCACCCACATACAGAACTCACACACCACAACCTACATACGGGATGCACACCTCCACTCACATACAGAACTCACACCACCACCCACATACAGAACTCACACCACAACCTACATACGGGATGCACACCTCCACTCACATACAGAACTCACACCACCACCCACATACAGAACTCACACCAAACCTACATACGGGATGCACACCTCCACTCACATACAGAACTCACACCACCACCCACATACAGAACTCACACCACAACCTACATACGGGATGCACACCTCCACTCACATACAGAACTCACCCACCACCCACATACAGAACTCACACCACAACCTACATACGGGATGCACACCTCCACTCACATACAGAACTCACACCACCACCCACATACAGAACTCACACCACCACCTACATACAGGACTCACACCACCACCCACATACAGAACTCACACCACCACCTACATACAGGACTCACACCACCACCCACATACAGAACTCACACCACCACCTACATACAGGACTCCACCACCACCACCCACATACAGAACTCACACCACCACCTACATACAGGACTCACACCTACAAACAGGACTCACACCTACATGGAGGACTCACACCTACATGGAGGACTCACACCTACATGGAGGGTACTACTGACACTGTTGCAGTCTGGCACGGTTCTATATCACTTTGCTTATTCAACAGCCAATATGCAATATGGTTTTATGCTGTCCTTTACGTTGTTCTGTTGTCGTCGTTGCTGTTGTTGCTGTTGCTATTGTTACTAATGTTTTTGCTGTTGGTGCTACTGTTTATGGTGTTGTTGATGTTGCTGTAGCTATTATTGTTACTGTTCCTGTTGTTGCTGTTGTTGATATTGCTGTTATTGCTCTTATTGTTGCCGCTGCTGCTATCGTGCTGTTGCTGTTGCTCCTGTTATAGTTTCTGTTTCTGCTTCCGCTGTTGTTATCGTTGTTTCAGCTTCTGTTGTTCCGCTGTTTTTGCTGTTTCTGTTGTTATTCCCACTACTGCAACAACAACAGCACACACACACACACACACTCGACCCCTGCAACCACAAATAGGTGAGTACACACCTGGTCAAGCACGTCAAGAAGTTAGAGAAAGTACAAAGGTTTGCAACAAGGCTAGTCCCAGAGCTCAAGGGAATGTCGTACGAGGAAAGGTTAAGGGAAATCGGACTGACGACACTGGAGGACAGAAGGGTCAGGGGAGACATGATAACGACATACAAGATACTGCGGGGAATAGACAAGGTGGACAGAGATAGGATGTTCCAGAGAGGGGACACAGGGATAAGGGGTCACAACTGGAAGCTGAAGACTCAGACGAGTCACAGGGACGTTAGGAAGTATTTCTTCAGTCATAGAGTTGTCAGCAAGTGGAACAGTCTAGCAAGTGAAGTAGTGGAGGCAGGAACCATACATAGTTTTAAGAAGAGGTATGACAAAGCTCAGGAAGCAGAGAGAGAGAGAGGATCCAGTAGCGATCAGTGAAGAGGCGGGGCCAGGAGCTGAGTCTCGACCCCTGCAACCACAATTAGGTGAATTAGGTGAGTACACACTCACACACACACACACAACCACACACACACACAACCACACACCACACAACCACACCCAACAAAAACCCCCCCAACCCCCCACACCCACCACACCCACACACCCCAACCACCCCAAAACCACCCACCCCCAAAACCCC